TTTGGGCCTTATGAGGTGTTGAATAGGATTGGTGCGGTGGCGTACCGACTGAAGTTACCCCCATCAGCCACCATACATCCAGTGTTCCATGTGTTTCAGCTGAGAAGGGCCATAGGGGAACATGCCGCAAGTGAAGAACTTCCAGACAACATGACGGAGGACTTAGAGGTGGTTTTAGAACCACTAGAGTTGGCAGGAGTCCGATCAAACAAAAAGGGCAACAAAGAGGTGTTGATCAAATGGTAGGACTCCCCAAACCACGAGGCCACTTGGGAGCCCTATGAGATTGTGAAGCAACAATTCCCAGACTTTCACCTTGAGGACAAGGTGAGTTTTTGGGAGGGGAGTACTGATAGGCCGGCCCAGGAGGGGCCGGCTGGACCGGTCCAGTTCTATGTTCGGCGGAACAGAGAAGCAGGGGGTGGGCGGAACATCTAGTGGGCCCCAATTGGGGTTAAATCAATGTTTATGAGGGAAATATTTGAATTAGAGGGGTGTTTAGGGAATTTGTATGATTCCTTTTTGCTTTAATTAGGGAGTAATGTGAGGATGAGGGGGATCTGGAATTTGAATTACAATTTGAGATCTAGGGTTTATTGCTTTGGGCTCTTGGCGTTGCCGGAGATTGGAGAGTTGTTCTTCCTCTCGGATTGAAGAACAAATTGTATCTTTGCTATTTTATTCGTCTACTAGTAAAATACAAGCCTTTGCTTGCGCTTGCTCTCAGTTTTCCCGTGATCTCTCACTGTTTTCTTGGGTAAAACTGCTGTCCACTGCTGAAAACAGCGGTTTTCTCCCGGTTCTACTTCAGTTTTGGCTTGGAACTACTTGAAACCAAGCATTTCCTATCAAGGATCTTGACTAGGTTCCATTTAAACCCAATTATTTAAGAGATTCATTTAAACCAAACCTCTATTTTTATCCCTTCTTATTGAGTGTGGTTCATTTCTTTAGTGAAAGTCTCGATATTATTTAGGGATAACTTTGGATCTAACACACTTTGATGTAGTGAACATGAATTATGTCAAAAGTTAGAATCCACAATATGGGTCATTTTAGAGCCTGCAAAAGGTTTTGCATAATGAGCAACCTAATAACAATGTCACTGATGATCTATTTAATAAAAGAAAAAAGAGAGCATAAACAATTCAACTACAGCTCATCCCCCTTGCATGACCTTCTCAAATTGCATAAATGCCCCTGCCCAATCTGCTCCCTCTCTCTCCCTCTTGCACGTAGTATCTCGTGCCCACAGTAACATCTTTTAACTTTTTTTGAAGCTCATTTATGAGAGCCAAGCTTAGAACATGCTTGACTTTTATCATATCTGTGAAATGTGCTCTGAAGTAATTATTGAAGGTCAAAAACGCTAAAACTAAAGCTTAAACAATATTTTTTAAGAAATGAACTGCTAGCCTCACATTTATAGGCATTGATGCTTATGTATCAAGCATGTGCTAAAATTTTGGGCATTCTCTTATACTAACACTCTGGATTAACCTGTGATTATAACTCAAACCACCGAGGTTGAATTGGCTATTGTTGACACTTTCATTCTTTTGTCCATCTCGACTTCTCGTAAGGCATAAGAGAATTATGGAATTTTTTGCAGCCTCATATTCATCTGGTTCAGGTTTATCAAGTCATTATGAAAACCTAAATTTGGTTGTTGAATTGACTAATTGAGAACTGGGTTGAACTGGCTGCCAAAATTGAATCTTGAATAATTTGTGGAAGACTTAGCTCCAACTCGACCTTCATGACTAAGTTGTTGAACTCACTCAAAGGGATCTACAAAGTCACCGATTAATAGATGTTCTTTGCCCAAATGAACTCACTAACTCACTGTGGACCTCCGAAAGGACACCGCCGAGCTGCAGAGCGCAGAGGGTATACGACCGCACCTACCTCGAGGGATAGAGACGATCACGGACCTCCGTGCTCCTCGCAAACGGGCCAATGGAAGGGCAGATTAGACCATACATACGATTAACCATGGAGGATAGCGGCTCTTGCCTATGCACATTTATGTGTAATAATATGCATGGCCCGATCACAGTCACGAGATTTTCTCTACCCGATATATCAGCTTGAGTAGAGTTTATTTGACGTGGGATTCAGTTTCCCACGGGCGCAAGCCCCCGTGGTTAATTACATCTTAGGCCGGAGCCTAAGAAGACTCTCGATTAAGAATCCTATATTATCCTTTCGAAATGGGATTGACACGAGGGTGGAGACTAGGAAGTTCCTAATCAAGAGGAAGAAAGGTCCAATTGACTTAGTCAACACGCACGGTTCATACCAGCATTCGAAGGGACTAGACACTAAGGAGAAACTGAAGAAAAGAAAGTCAAGCACTCCAAGCATACAGGAGAAAGATGGAGGTGGCATCATCCATGTGACGCGGATATGTAAGATTTATAGTCCCTGAAAAATAGAAAACTTACCCACCAATGAGGCGTTTTACGAGACCAAATGTAGTAGCCTTGAATCCTAAATCTAAATTGGATTTAGTGTTCTACGAACAACACTAACACCCGTGTCCTAACTAATGCAGTGCAAAACTTGAACTTACCCTGGCCTGGATTGGGGAGCCAACTAACCACCTAATAGATTTAAAATCATGTTGTCCAGTCGTTTATGAGATATAGATCAGTGGTTTAGTTTTTTGGAAGTTAAGGCACACGTCTAGAGAGTTTTCTAGTTGGTCTTAGACTTATGTAGGGTGAATGCTCGTAGACCTAATGCAATTAAATTTTAATTAAATTTGTTTCTAATGCAATGCATGCTAGTTGAGAAGATCCGAATCATGTATGCTTTAGATTTTAAAAACAATCTTATAAAAAATAGTTTTTTAGAAAAGACTAGACCTCCCCAGATCCGGCACTTCATCCTTATAGGCCAGATTATCCGGACTCTACTCGCAGGCGGGGAGGTGTCTTATAACAAGGAGAAAGAAAATACATTAATATGCATGCGACCCCGGACGATTCCGGCAGTTCCCTAAGTTATTAGGTTTTTATATTATTTAATTCTTAAAATTTTAAAATTAGTTATGAGTAGAACAGATTTTTTGTCCTTAAAGATCTTAACGAAATACAGGCTAAAACAAAAGCGACATGCAAATCGCTAATAAACTAAGAAAAACAAACAACCCTAGAGGCAATCATTTATAAATAAAACACATCAAAATAATTAAATAAATTAATAAATAGCCATAGGCAAACTGCCCTTAATTACAAATCAGGGTCTGCAGAAAATAAAGTGGCCGGGCATCACTGCCAATGACCCAGATTTCTACACCTATGAATGACGCAAATCACTTTGAGTGGGATATTGGGTCTTCAGCTCATCAGCCTTCTAGGACTTTTTCTCCTTAGCCTCATTGGATCTATCCTCCTTGGACTCCTTGGATTCGTCTTGGCTTGAATATCCAAACGAAGAGACAATTTTCCCTTGGAGTGGTATTGCCTTTTCTCTTTGGATATCTAAAAGCCATCCGAACTCAATCTTCCAAATGAAAGAAGACTCTCCCTCTTGAGCCTCCTTCTTCTTTTGTAATTCGAGTTGGATAAGGATATCCCAACTCAAAGACACTTTCACAATTCAAACTAATATTATAAATAATTACCTTAATAGAAAGCTGTAAATTCTAGACTCTCCTGCAAGGCTATCCTATAAAAATTTCCAAGCAGTTAATATATCATCCCAAGCAGTTTATATGAAAAAAAAAAAACTCATTACAACCACACTTGGCCATGCTCTTAATATTTTAATTTAGTTCCATTAATATTTAGATGTCTCGGTTCTATTGTTCAAAGTGATGGTGAAATAGATGGTGATATTGTTAGTGGTATTCAACTTGGATGGTTGAAGTGGAGGTTGCATTGGGCCTATTGTGTGATATAAAAGTACCCCTCAAACTTAAGAAAAAAATTTATAAGATGGTGGTGAGACCTACAACGCTTTATGATGCAGAATATTGACCATTAAAAGAGAAGCATAAAATTAAGTCAAGTGCTGCAGAGATGAGCATGCTCAGGTGGATGAGTGGTTTTACTCTTAAGGGACAGAATGCGAAACGTGTATATATGTGAAAAATGTTAGAGTAGCTCTAGTGATAAATAAAATTAAAAAGAGTCGCCTTAGATGGGTTGGTCACACAAAATGTCAGTCTTCCAATAACCCGGTTAGGAGACTAGATGTATTTGATTTGGCCTATTAAGAAAGGTTGAGATAGATCTAAAAAGACTTAGTTAAAAAATATTAGAAATGACTTTTTTACTAGTTATGAATGAGAATTTGACTATTAATAGGACACAATGGAGAAAAATGATTCATATTGTTGACCCCACTAGTGGGATAAAGGCTTGATTTTGTTGTTGTTGTAATATTTTACTAGTATTAATTATTATAATTAAACTTGCCATAAATAATAAACACATAATTGGCCAATTATCAATAACTAATAATTTACTTATGTTAAATAGGTTTTAATTAGGATTTTATTAAGCACACTGAAGTTATAATTCTATTAAGGGTAATTAATAATGGGATAATTAATTACTAATAATAATAATCAACTAATTATGATTAATTGGAATTTTGATTAAGATAATTATTTAAAGCTTGTATAATTAAAACATTAATTGATCTTTACTATGAATATATATATAATGAAAATATTAATTAACCAAGTAAGTTATTATTAAGTAATGATTATTATGGAACATTTAATTAACTAATATCAAAGAATATGAAATAAGGATTATTGATTCTTAGTTAGAAATTAAATAGACTTAACTATAATAATAACGTATTTCTATTTTTGTCTGTCAATAATATTTTCTTATTCTTGTTTCAGCTTATAGCAAATAAGTGAATCATCCGAACATATTTTTTTGGTTATTGAAAACAAAAGTTAAACGACAATAAAACAATTCAAATATCACTGGCATGCCATGTGAGGTTATTGTCTGTGCATGAGGTTATAAATTATAATGGATGAAACATTTGTTCTTTTAGGTCCGGGATGCTCCTCAATTGCTTACGGACTGGCAGAGGAGTTGGGGCCTTTTCATGTCACTGCAGATGGAAAGGGGATTTATTTGAATCCGTATTCATGGAATCAAGGTAAGAAAGAGAAGTTCTCAATTTTTATTTTGTTTATTATTTTGATTTTTACATTCCTAGAAAGATAAAGCAAGAGGATTCAATCTTGTTTGGAGGGTCAAGTGCTTAACTAATTTAAAACAATGCAACTTTTGGTTAGTATATTCTTTAAAACAGAAAAGCCCAAAATTTGTTATTCAATGAATTTTTCCATGAATCGTCGTTAAATTAATAATCCTTTCTTTGCTGCTCTTACTTCCTTTACAAATGCCAGTCATATTTTCTTTTCAGTATAAGTGTATCAAATATACAATTTTGTATGATTTCATTTACCATATTGACTCAAAATCAGTGGATTTTATACCATCCTGCAGTGGCCAACATTCTGTTCCTTGATTCCCCAGTTGGTGTTGGCTTTTCATATTCTAATAATTCAGATGATGTGTGGAACAATGGAGATGCAAGTACAGGTAGCACTTTAAGTTCTAATTTTATTTTACATTCTCCATTTGAACAAGTTTCACTTATTTTCTGTCATATGGATCTAATTTTCTGCAGCTAAGGATTCCCTGGAATTTCTTAAGAAATGGTTTAAGCAGTTTCCTCAATATGAGGGGCGTGATTTTTATTTAACTGGAGAAAGCTATGCAGGTAAACCAATATTTAAATCCTTATGCTCCTCATATGGACTTTCAATATGTTTAAACGATCACTTCTTTAGTGAATTTTGGTTATTCATAACTAATCAAGCTCAACATTCAATGGTCAATGTAATTCTTGTCGTAGGACATTATGTTCCTCAGTTGGCCCAAGCCATTGTGAGGTATCATCAATTGACAGTAGAGACATCAATTAATCTAAAAGGGTATATGGTATGAATTTAAGAGCATCTGTTGTTCAGAGTAGTTCCCTTCCATTCTAATTACAAAAAGATAGCATATTGAAGCTTTAATCGACGGTGAAAAACAGGTTGGAAATGCTGTAACTGATGATTTCTATGATCATTTTGGGGTTTTCCAATTTATGTGGGCTGCTGGTTTGATATCAGATCAAACATTCAAGCTATTAAACAATTTATGTGACCATGATTCCTTTGTGCATACATCGGAAGAATGTGAACGTATTCTTGATGTTGCTTCAGATGAGCTTGGTAATATTGATCCCTATAGCATCTTCACTCCTTCCTGCACCGGTAGCGGTACCTTTTCGAGGAACAAGCTGCTGAAAAGAATGAGAGTAAGTATCAGCATTTTAGCTGCTCTGGAATTTGAGGGCTTGGCCTTATTAGACTTTTGTTAAAGTGACAGAAAATTTGGTTGTGTGAATTTAGCTTTGTTATTTAGTATTTCTGATAGAAGCATAGTTAATTACCTTTCAACTTGTAATCTATTTTCGTGCAGATTGGGAAGATGTCTGAAAAGTATGATCCATGCACCGAGAAACACTCAAGGGTTTATTTTAACTTGCCGGAAGTTCAAAAAGCAATTCATGTTGATCCATCTTTTGCTCCATCGAAGTGGGATACTTGCAAGTAAGAATTCATACTCTGCTGCGAGTAACTGCTAACTTTATTTGATGGAACTGTTTTCAGCTGTAATATGCGTTGCATTGTCCATCATATGTGAAGGGAAAGCTTTGGTTTCCAATTTTTAGGCCACCTTATTCGTTCAATTCAATCGTTTATGTTCATCTGCATATAGTCTTTCTTTTAGCTAAATTCGCAGTGCCATTTCTGTTTTCAGCATTTATTATTTAAATACGGAGAAATTCTTTTGCAGTTGTTACTCCAAGGGCTGCGTAATACTGCATACTCTTTAATATTATTCAACGTTTTTTTTTCTAATTAGCATGGATTCTAAAATATTTTCTAGTTTCATAGACTGGACTCATAAGTCAAGATTTTCTTCCATTTTCATGCAAAATCAAGTTTAAGACAAGTTGGACGATGACTGTGATGGTGATAAAATTTTGAACTGAAAGTTGATGTTTTTATGGCTTAGTGAAGACCTTAAACATTACCATTACCTATCCTATTCAAATTATCTAGTTTGGATCTATTGTATCTTTCTATTAAATTGATATTTTGTTGTTGAGCTCCAGAAGGAAGCTTTTCTTTTTTGAGTTGAGACTTAAATAGAGTTGAAGTTAGAAACAATGACTTCCGTAAATCCATCATCATTTGGTTAGTGGTAGTTAGATATCAATATTGATTCTTCACAAACTGTTGACTCGTAATTGTATACAAAAGAAAAAAAAAATAATAACATACCTGTCCGGCGCCGAATTCAGCACGACGTCGTTTATTTTCCCATGATCTACGCATAAGGCTCGCACGACGACATCAAATCTCTCACGATCTCTCTGGCAGTCGTAAAAAGAGCCGAAGGAAGGGATTCGATTCACTCTGACTCGCTCGCACAAGCTCTCCTCTCTCGATCTTTCCCTCTCTGACTCTGCTCGTCCGACGACTTTCCTTTCGATCGGAACAGAAGTTACGACATTTCGATCGGAAGCTACAACGGGAACTCGCTAGCTGTGCAGGTAACCTTTTCCCTTACGTGGCTTCTCCCGCCTCTCCGTGGCTGAACGACTTCGCTCCTCCGACATTCCTTCCTGTGCGAATCGGAAGTTACGTCATTAGGATCGAAAGCAACGACCGGAGCTCGCTTCTCCTCCGGCTCCATTATTGCTGTTCGATTTCACTCCATTCGACGACTTTCCCTTCCTGTCGGGATCGGAATATTGATCGGAACCAACAACGGGGAGCTCGCTTGCAGTGAAGATAACTTTCTCCCTTGCGTCGCTTCTCCGCATCCTCCCTAGCCGTTCGACTTTGCTCCCTTGGACGACTTCCCTTCCTCTCGGATCGGAAGTTACTACCTTTTGATCGGAAGCAAGCAGAAGAGCTCGCTGGAAGTGAAGGTAACTTTCTCCCTGCTCGCGCGCTTCTCCGGCCGAAATCCCGTAAATCTGCCGAACGAGGGATTTAGTAAATACCGGATTAAGCCGTAAATCCTTAATCCGGGATTTAACCATCGCCGGGATTTAACGCACGCACCGAAATCGTTGGCTGGATTTAGCCTGAATCCGGCCAAATCCCGCAAATCTGTCGAATTACAGAGAGAGGGGAGGGAGAGATGTAATTAGTGTTAATTAATCTTTTTAAATTATAAATATTTTTAATTAATTATATTTATTATTATTAATTATATTTGATTTTAAATAAATGATTATAATTAATTTTTAATTAATTATAATTATTTTTAATTAAAGTTAATGAAAAGAATACTGTGATTTGGGAAAGATGGAGTTTGAGTTCAACTATATTTGATGCTGTCTTATTATTAGGATATTTTGATTTCACTTCATATATTGTGCATTTTTATGTTTTATATATTATTTACTCATTAGTATATACAAAATTTATCATTTTATGTTTACGTAATTTTTTGATTTTGAGGCTTATGCCTCAAAAAGCCTTGAGGCTTACGCCTCGCCTCACGAACGAAAAATGCCTTAATACCCGATTAGGCAATTTTAAACATTGATTTAGAGAGAAAGTTGGAGGGAGAGTGTGGAAGAAAGAGAGGAAAAGAGAGATGGAGAGAGGGTTAGAGAGGGAGAGAGAAAATGTCCTCTTTCGATTTTAATGAGAGAAAGAGGGAGATAGAGGGAAGGAGAAAGAGATGAAGATATGGAGACAGCGAGTGGGTCGGAGGCTAGGGCGGTTATCTATGGTTTTCTAAAGCTGGGAGATTGTTGTTGGTTTGGGGTCGAAGTTGGGAGGTTTCCGACACCTTATGGCTAATCAAAGGTAGACGAAGGTTGGGAGTAGTCAGTGGTGGCTAAGGCGGTAGGTGGTCAGTTAAGGAAGGAGATGAGAGAGAGGCGATTAGGGTGTGGTCAGTGTCGGTTTTTGTGATGCATGAATAGAGGGGCTTGCCGGTTGGAGCAGTTGGTACCTAATGGTGTGAGGCTAGGAAGGAAGCCAAGTGTTTTGAGATGGGTTTTGTTACGGGTTTGAGAGGATGAGGGGTGTGTACTACTTGGAAGAGGGAGCGGGACTTTGGGGAATAAAAATAAGTATTTTAAAATTAAATCATATGTATGATAAGCCATCAAAAGACTTGAAGTCCAATTTCGAGGTCGATTTGCTCCCCCGAAGCTCTTGGTCGTTGAATCTTATCCGACTTAGTGGACTAGAGAGAGAAAATGCCCTCCTAACCTCCCTTCGTGGTGAGGGGGCATCGGAAGGCTGCCGAAATTTTAAATAATCAAAGGACCCCACGTAGTTATAATTGTGATTTAATGATATACAATAGCTCTTTAAAATACTCAAATTTAAATCGTATATTTCATCAATCAAAACTAACTAGTACATGTTAAATATCATTATGAGGGTGATATTTTTACTACCTTGAACCTATTGAAAAAGAGAATGTATCTTTCTCACTCACTAACTTCTAAACTTGTGAGGAGAGCATTGTTTTTGTAGGTGTATTTTTCTCATACAAAATACTTGTACAAAACACAAGTTAGTTTGAATGGCAGGACGAGGCACTTGAAGTGCTTGAAAAGGCTGAGAAATTCATACAAGTAAAAGACTAGAATGATATATCACCTCAGCCTAGAAAATGCTAAAGTAGAGAAAGTTGAATGTAAAAGTAAAAGACTAGAATAATATATCACCTCAGCCTAGAAAATGCTAAAGTAGAGAAAGTTGAATGTAACACTCCATTGTGCCAAACAACTGCAGCTATCACTGGTCCCTAGTTAGAAAATTTGTAGAATTGTGATTACATTAAAAATGGCGGTTCTGGCGAAACAAATTCTATATAAGGACTAGAAATTGGATAAATTAAAGATATTGGAATTAACAGTAAGTCTATTAATGATCTCTTCCAAATATGTTACATTATAGATGACATATTGCAAGTATGATGAATACCCTACAAGCATAAATAAGGAGGCTGCAATGAGAATGACACACTATCTATAGGCAAGAGTAATAAGCACGTGATAAATGCAAGCATTTAAGGGCAGTGACAAAAGATTTGAAATGAATGTAATAGTCTCACCTAACGATGATGTTGGAAAGTATACGCTGATTGTAATCCACCTGCATACGACAATAAATGACTTCTAACATCCGCTAATAGCCTACAAACTAATCCAACAAAGCTTGCATAACATGATAGTTCGCCTATAAGATGTAATGAGTAACCCATAGCACTACACTACAAGCCGCTTGCTGGCAATGTTGGAGAATTTGTGCTTAATATAGTCTACCTACACGTGCTAGTTAGTGACTTTTGAATGATTGCCATTTGTCAACGAAAGTTGCATTACCTGCACCAAGTAGTAAATGGCTCGTAGCGCAACACCAGGTCATCACGCCAAATAAGTCAATTTACTTACAAACGATAGATGGACTCCTGGTGCATCGTGCAACGCATTTGCGGCAGGAGTATACTCTTATAGGTTGAATCAGGGGAAAATGATAATATGCAGAAGAAAAAATAAGCTCAAATGCACTGCCAATGTATGATAAATGAAATCTTACACATTGCCGAACCACGATAGCCGTATTGAATATAAATCTCAACCGAAGGGGAATCTGTCTTTCAAAATACTCGTGAACACCACAACAAAATACATAAATTTAAAGTGAATTCAACTTCTTTTAAACCCCGATGATGGCCGTGTTGAATATAAATCTCAACCGGAGGGGTTAAATCTCAAAACCAGTAAAAGCCTAAAGCCTTAAAATGAAAATTTAATCATTAAAAACTTAAAAATTAAAATACATCCCCCTTCTGCAACTGTTTGTCGGGTTTGGTAAATCAAAAATTAACCTCAGCTCACAAAAACTGAATGTCATGTTGGATGTATAATTAAGATTCATCCTCAAATAGTCGCTTGTCAGTAGAGACATGTCACGTACCCTTTGATCTTATAGTTTTACCGCAAAACGATACCATTATATTACAATCACGGCCAGAGCCCATATGCTCCCTAATGGTGTCAAACCCTTAAGTAATGAATCATAGGATATATTCAATAGGCATAAAGCCCTCTATCAGCTCAGGTGGATTCAGATATATCCCCTTAGACAAACGCAGTCCTAGATCTACAAGATATCCTTGGATGAAGCAACTCACGCTTGCCGATAAAGTACCTTCTATCAGGTTGGGTCGACTACCTCCTCTGACTAAGTAGACTAGGGACCATGACAACCCAGGACAACGGAACCGTGGGATCTTGATCAGGCTCACCTTCATTCCCCCCATCACCTATTTTAAGTTTATGTTGATAAGGTTTAAATCAGAAAATCAAATTCAAACATCTAAACTTGTCATTATACATTTAGTACTCAGAACTTATCCCACGATTAGCCTTAATCAAAAGGTCTCTCTCTTTATCTAGAGGGGTAATTAACTATAGGAGCTTGTTCCTATAAGAAATTAAAATTCAGATTATAAAGTCCTCACAAAATGAGGGTGAAATCTCTGGGTAGTATCTTATCTATAAACCCAATCTGCCTTCTGAAAATTTACCCCAGAACTTAAACTCGTTAAAACTCTCCATGCCTACGCATCACTTAAGCAAACACAAAAAATAAAGAGACGACGCAGAGAGGCCAGAGCGAGAAATTTTTTTGAGCCCACAACTTAGAGTTACTGGTGACCCTGATGGAGGATCTAGAGGTGATGTTAGAACCACTGGAGTTGAAATGGGTGTCATAGGGAGAGGGAGGGATTAAGTACTAATCAAATGGAAGCACCTACCCGTCTATGACACCACTTGGGAACCGTTCGAGAGGGTGAAGTATCAGTTTTCATCCTTACGCCTTGAGGACAAGGTGGGTCTTTGGGAGGGGGGAGGTATTGTTAGACCGAACATTAGACCGGCCTATTTCTACACAAGGCGGAATAGAGTTCCGCCTCCCTGTGTTTTTGCCCAACACGTGGGGACCTACTGCTATGATTAAGAGGGATTTAGGAGGTAAATTTGAAAGTATGGCTATTTAGTGATTACCTTTTGGGTTAGGGCATCGAGCATTTTGTTGAATATTGGGTTGTTCTTTGTTGTATTAGACTCTAGCGGAGTCTAAAGAGTTTGAAGAGACGAATCTTCCTCTCTGATTGAAGATCCATTGTATCTCGTGTGTTTCTACCTAGTATTATCAATTTAATTGTGTTCCCACTTTGTTTCCTTCAAATTATTCCAATTTCTATTTTCGCGCCTTGCTGAAATTCAAGATCAGCAAAAGATAATTTGGAGATTGACTAGTGTTTCCTAACAGAATACAACATTGTAAACGCAGATAACAATCCATTAAACCAAATGATGCAAAGAGCAAACTCTCATTCTAAAAAATATGCTGTAAATGAAATTTTCTGCAGTGTTTTTGGTTTTATTGATTATTTGAAATATACGATATCATTGATAATTGTCTCAACAAGTTTCATTTATCCAGAACACTAAACGCAATCCAATGCAATATCATCCTTTTTTTTTTGGTTGGGTTCCACCAACTCCTCACTAGTCATAATTTTTTGCAAAATGGTGTCCTGTAATCATGTTCTTGGGTGATGAGTTCCAGACTAGGATTAGTTGATGACATTCTAAACATTTTCCTTATGATATTAAGTGGCATAACAGTTCAATTTTGTTTTGTGGCATGTTGCAACAATTCTTTAGCGCACATATGCCATTAGTGGATATAGAATTCGAAATCACTATTAGGCATCAATGAAGAGAAGAATATGCAACTATCCTTTTACCTTCTTTTATCCCTTTTTTGATAAAATTTTTCCTTGCTTGATTTTTATTACTAATTTTGCTAAGTGATTATTAAAAATCTCAGGAATTTTTTTTCTGGATTGTTTTCTCTTGTTGCAGTGACATTATTAATGAAAACTGGAAGGATTCCAATAATTCTATCCTGCCAATATATAAGGAACTTATAGATTATGGACTTCAAATTTGGATGTTCAGGTGATTCCCAAACTTCTTGCTTGCCATCAATGATGACTTCATCAGAAAAATAAATTGTCTAGCTAGTTCCTTTGGCTTTCTATGAAGAACAGTTGAGCTTCTTCTGCATGCTAAAATGCTATTATGAATGTGGCCTTACGACATAGGAATTACTAACGATTGGTCATGATGCGACTAAAACACCAATTATCATATATTATCATTCATTTCTTACAATCATGGGAAATGAAGATTTGAAGAAAAAAAAAGTGCATTCTCTCTATTCTGTCTTAATTTTTTAATTTTTTTGTGTTTATACCTTTCCTTTGTTTAGATGTAATAGTCAGATTGATTTTTTTATGAATGGGAATCCTATTTTTCCTGTAACAATAATGCAAGCTTTGTTTGATCCAGCGGAGATACAGATTCAGTAATTCCAGTAACATCCACCAGGTATAGTGTGGATGCACTCAAGCTTCCAACTGTCGTTCCCTGGCATGCTTGGTACGATGATGGCCAGGTTTGTTTTACAAATTCTTCTAAATTAGTTATTATCATTTTTTTCACAAAAATTGTTAACCCCTACATCAATATATGCGCAAACAAATGCAAAATCAACGAATTAAGTGACACGCTCATCGACGTGGCATGTCACTAGAAGAGTAAAATGACCTTGGATTGACAAATAGACTGTGTCATTGCGATCAGAGTATCGAATTAGCCTAAGAGAGCCCCTCGTAGACAAATCAAGTGAAAATAGTCGAAGTGGATGATCGACATGCGAAATTAACACGTGACGTCTGAGGATGCTGTGTGGGTCAAACAACAAACTTAAGTTTAAGCCCGATCCTTCTATATGAGCAAATAGGAGTCGATACGACTTGAACTATCTAACAAATATACAATCATGACGTCGACTGAAATATTTATTTTAATATATTCATATTAGACTTTCAAGGTCTATAACAAAAAAAAAATATTAATAAAGGCATAAAGTTAACAACGAACCCGATCCTCTGTTAGCAAGTAGACAACGTCGACAAGGTTCAATTGATAAAAAATAAAATAGCCAATAAATACTCGGATGACGGCCGTGTTGAATGTAAATCTCAACCGGAGGGGACCCCAAATATTTAAAAATACCTCCCAAATTCCTAAATACCCATAAAAATTTAAAATTCCAAAAATACTAAAGCCTAAAAATTTTAAATAAAATAAATCATCAAACTCCTAAAGTGAAATCCATCCACCCTCCGCAATAATTTGCTGAGGTGGACAAATCTGGAAATTACTTCACTCACAAAGAGTTAATGTCTGGTCGAGAATATCACTAAGATTCATTCTCAAACAGTCTCTTATCAACAATGATGTGGAACGTGTCCTCTAGCCGATAGTTTCACCTCCAAATTGCATCACAGGTAAACAATTATGAGCGGAATCCTCTGAACCGAGTGGCTTTGCCACCAAATGGCACCACTAAATTATTGTCATGGTCAGAGCCCACATATTAATATGATATAATCGATAGGGCATAAAGCCCTCTATTAGCTAAGATGGATTCAGACTTGTCCCCTTAAACAAATATTCACTCCAGATCTACAAGGTACTCTTAGATGAAGCAACCCATGGTTGCCGACAATGATCCTTCTATCAGGTTGGGTCGACTACCTCCTCCGACTAAGTAGATCAGGGACCACGATGGCCCGGGACGACGGAACCATGGGATCTTGATCGGGTTCATCATCATTCCCCCACCATCTGCTTTAAGTGCAAGATGATAAAATTTCTCATTTTAAATATTAAACTTTCAAATACCAAATCATGTTGCTACTATACGCTAGATATTATGTATCTATGGAACTATGTACCTATTCGATGAGCAGCCTTAATTAAAAGTTCTCTCTCGTTATCGAGAGGGGTAATTAACTATAGGGGCTTGCGCCTATAGGAAACTTAAACTCAGATCATAAAGTCCTCACAAAATGAGAGTAAAATCTCTGGGTAATGTCTTATTCGAAACCCAATATGCCTTCTAAAAATTTACCTGCTAACTAAAATGCTAAAACTCTCCTCGATGACCCAGGAGGAAAAGAAAGGGGTCCACAGAGAGCCTGGGGCACGAATTTTCGGAGCTCGCAAAAAAAATTTAGGGGTGAATAATCAAAATATTTTTGCATTAGCATTTGGATCACATCATTTTCTAAATAATCAAGTTTTCAAAGTTTGATTTGTATTTTTCTTGCCACCATAGCTTTTAGAAATGCTACAATCCACATCAAGACTGGAAATAGACTTCCTCATTTGTGGATCTTTAACCATTCATCTTTTATAGTCAATCCTTCACAAGTTTGTGCATTGTAAATTGGTTCTGAGGTGTATATTAGTCAAATGATAGTCATCCCATTTCAATTTTACACCAACTATACAAATTAGGATGCCAATATTGAGAAGAAATTTCTAATTTCTCTGAAACAGGTTGGTGGATGGACCCAAATATACAAAGGACTAACTCTAGTAACAGTAAGGGGAGCTGGTCATGAGGTTCCCCTCCATAAGCCAAAACAAGCTCTTTTACTGATTAAGCAATTCCTTTCAGGCAGTCCAATGCCAACTTTATCTGAGCATGCATCCTTTTAGTTCATGCATTTTATATTACATTTCAGCAAATTTGATGCTTAAAAAATGCTGAACTTTTTGTGATATTTTCTGAAGAATTCTTAGATTTTGTTTGAAACAGCTTTCTTAATTCTTTCAAAAACAGTTTTTTAGTACTAAAAAACTATTTTAAACAATAAGAAAGCCATTCCAAACGAAACTGATGATTTGAAAGAAAATTTTCCTGATCAATATGTAAGCTATGATCAATATGTAAGCTATGTCATGCACATTATTCTATCAGGCTTAAGTACAGATTGCAAGAACTAATAATATGGGGAATTTTATTTTGTTTAACAGATCAAATAAAAATGTTTGTGCATTTTCTGATATAAATTATATTAAGATGAGCTTAATATCATGAATGTTAATTAATTGTGTTAGTGAGGGTGGGTCATGTGCTCTATCTGCCTTAGCTCTATATTGTTTTAAATGCTTGCTTTTGGCTTCATTTTGGGATGAGAAGCAGTAAGAAAGAGAGCTGTTTGGAAGCTAGATTTTATTTGAAACAGTTTTGTTTCTGCTTTTTTAGTAATAAAAAAGTAGTCATTTAAAATAATATTTTTCCAAAAAAAATGTATTTTTCTTACCAGATTTTATTTTAGAAAAACTTTTTGAGAAAATAAATAAAATTTATAATTGAGAAAATTCTCTTTTGATATATAAATAAAAAGCATTAGTTACATCAGACTAAAACCTTATATTTATTTTCGAAACACTAGCTAGATCAACATTTATATTAAAACTTGATTCAACTGGACATTACAAACATTGGCCCCCGTTAGGGTTTTTTTTTTTGTTTTTTTTCTATTTTTTAGATGGCATAGGTTTGAGGATTGTATTTAGTGGGTGTGAATTTGATGTTCTTTGGATTGATTTAGGGTCTGTGGGGAACAAAATATAGTTTTTTTATTGTGAATATAAGGTAGAGAATAATTTTTTTTAAAATTGTTATTAAAATTAATTTCTTAGTAAAAATTTTGTTGTAAGTAATGAAAAAATAACGGCAAAAAAATGTTATAATTGTACTAAAAAAATAAAACAATAAAAAAATCATTTCATAAAAAGCCTTAAATTAAATTTAAAATGTGTAACATCAAAGTTCCATTTTCTAAAGTACTTTTTTATAAAAAAAAATGTACCAAATAAAATCTTAATCAAATTTATTATTATTATTAATTTATTATTATTATTATTATTTATCCACAATAATTGTATCAACTCATTTGCCAAATAAAAATACAAATTCAGCCGCTTTTAAGAATGCAACATACTCATCAATCTGATTGACATGTGATATTTTGTGTAATTCATAACATCTTTTCATATGGCATTGCATTTACTTACTGATTTATCTATTAAGCCTTCAAAGCATCATAACACGAGTTATTATTAGGTGCAAACACCGCACCCAGAGATATGTCCATATTATTGGATGCACTGCATAAGCTCTACTTACACTATGTGTATATTCTACTTACACTCTGCGTATTTATTGATACACAGTAAATAACCAGCAAATCCGCACAATTAAATATTTGTTGTTTATTTACTGCAATACACAGTGTATACTCAATAAATACGCATAACGTAGGCAGAACTTAAACATAAATTAAGCAGTATTCAAACGCATCTCTAAGCGCGGTGTCCGCACCTAATAATTACTCTCAACGCAGACAGTCACAGATACCTAAATTTTCAGAACACTTAGACTGGACTAGAAATATAAAGGAGTTCGCAAACTTGTAGAATACTTCGGAAGGTTTCTTAACACAACATCATTTGGATAAGAAAATGAGAAGGCTGCCATTTGCAGGAAGAGAAGATCAAAATTCCAGCTCTACTCTTACCTTGTAAAATTTTTGAATCAATTGCATCAGTTGTAAGATGACAGGCATTGTTATGGATACAAGGTGCGGATAACTGTATATATTCCAATAAAATTTCACATAATTTGACAGAATTCCTAAGAAAACAAAGCCACTCGCTCGTTCATCTTTTCTTAAATAGCCTGGAAAGCTCCTCTTTTTTACCTGATCAAAACCCAGCATATAGGATTTTCAAGTAGTTCTATGGAAAACAATCCAACATCTGAAATCGCCATAAAATTTGAGGATGGGACTGCTCAGAATTGATTCATTTTGCCTTTCTTCGACGATCTCTGCTCCGATCACTGTCATGGTCATCCTTCTCTCTGCTTCCACTCTTCTCTCTCTCCCTCTTACTTTCAGTGTCATGAAACCTGTCTCTCTCTCTGTGCCGGTCGCGATCTCTATCGGCCTCATCCCTTTCCCTGGAAGAAAGCTTCTTTGAAGGACTTCGGCTGTGGCTCTTGCTCCGCTGGCGCTTCCTTGAAGAATCAGAGGCATCATCTCGTTTCTCCTTCCTCCCCGATGTTTTATCTACAATTTAAGATTTCATTGATTAGTAAAAGCAATGAGAAAATTATCAGATTTCAGCTTGATATCAACATAAAGCTCTGCAAGGCCGAAATTCATATGGCCAACCATCTCGAATTATTCAAAATAAAGTATTCTAAGAGCTTCATGAATTTGAGAAGGGATTGATCGTAAGCTGTTTTAAGGTTAAACAGATTGGTTGGTGAATAAGATATGCTGCTCTAAGCTGAGATAAGTTGAGAAAGTTGTTTGGCTGTATTTCAGCTTTAAGCCATGCTCTCTTACTTGCATATGAACATGTATTAATTTATCAGTAGGATGTAACTATTATGAGCATTATGAAGGATTAATTTTTATGGATTAAATCTTCATAAAAATTTCAGCAACATCTCCACATAAAATATAATTAGTACATATAAACAGTTCAATAAAATGAATCAGTGCATCATTACAGACAGTTTACATGGTAAATATCTTACAAGCAGCAACAGTACCATCCATGATCAAGTCAACTTTTACCAGATAAAAAAACTACATAAAATTTTAAACGAACCAGACAAACCAAAAAAAAAATGTCCCCGCTTAAAAAGCATTAGTAATAAATTAAGGTTTCCCTAATTTTGCCTCTTATCATAAGTTCGATCTAATATAAGTTTAAGATCAAAGCAGTTAAAAAGCACGCATACAGCACAACAATAATGTAGTAGATGATGATCAATCCAAAGTTCATGTGAAAATATCATAACACATAACAAGACTAGTAGAATTATGACTTACGAGATAACTGCTTGTTGCTACTCTCTGATGAACCTAATAAGCCGTATTCAGATTGAAGCTTTCTACGATAACTTGCAACCTTTCTTTCAATGTCCTCCAAGCTTTTTATGCCTCTTTCTTCAAGAGATTCACGATACTCGATTACAGCAACCTCTAAACGACGTAGTTTCTGCCTGAGGAAGCCAAAAAAATAAAAATTAAGGACTCTTTCAATAAAATACTTCACAATCCAAAAAAAAGTTTCTCACTCGTGTTCCTTAATTTGTGAAGTCAAAGATTAAAAATAATTATCACCTGTGTTCCTCACTCGTGCCTGCATCAGGGTGAGCAAAAATGTCAGACTCAGTAGTCACCTCAGCATCATCTGTCCTTCCAATACCCCCAACATTTTCACTTCCAGATGAAGAATAACCCAAGCCTAAACCAAGAGAACTTTTCTTGTCTTCCTCACTGCTGGCATCATCATCACGGCTCCATTTGGAATCAGGCAAAATACGATCAGACTTTCTTGAATAAGCTCTTGCCTCAGGCCGGGTAGAATGATGAGTTGAATCTGAAAAACCTTCTTCATTTTCCCCAATATTTTCTTCACCATTTCGATTCCATTTAGAAGAGCTTAGTGTTTCTTTGACAATGTCAATGTCTCTACTCTGAGCATTATTCGCATGCCAGCCATCATCATCCCTTGAAAATCTACTGGACCGGTTTTGTCCATATCTTACTTCATCATCTCGTTCAGAGCCTCCCTGCTTTTCAGCTTCTTCCAGATAGAGTAATCTAGCAACCATCATATCCCTACCACCAACAAGAGAGACACCATTATGCCTACAGCGCCTTTCAAGTTCAGCAAGAGGAAGAGCCAAGAGCTCCTTCATGGCTGCACCTTTTCCCATTGCTAATGCAGCATCTTGGTTAAGTTTTCCTCCTGATTGATCTTCAGTGCTAGTTTTATTTTCAATTTCAGGAACATCACCACAAATTGAATGAAAAGGTATTACACCAGAGTTCCCTGATCGAAGAAAGGTAACTCGGAGCCCGTTCACATATGCATCTGAAAAGAGAAACCAATCTGCCCAAACTTGAAGGACCTTCAAAACTCGTTCCTATAATGATTTAAATAATAGTGATATGTTAAAAATTTTCAGAAATAAACACAGATAATCACATAAAAAAAAAACCCAATAGCAACATTACCTTAAGGGCTTCAGCTGTGATTCTTCCTGTAACACTACGATATAAGTCATTGAAGCTTTCCATTATATCAGGTAAGTTAGTTTCAAACTTCGTGCGATATGCAGAAGCATTTTTCACGGGAGCGCTGCTGTTATGAAGGATGTCTGATACTAGCATAAGCCTGGCTACTTTTGTAGGTATCGGTGTTTCCTTGAGCGTTAATGATTCCGCAAGAACTTCAACAACCTGCATAAAATAAACAAACAAAAAGGGTAGGTGAAGATTCAATAATTCCTCCAACATCAGGGAGCTCTTAGTGAGAAAAAGATCAAAACATTAGACACTTGCAGAAGCAGTGTTTGGACTTTCTAACCTAAGTTATAAAATCATACCTAGAATTTCAAATTTCATAAAAGCTTGCATCCATGGAAAAGAAACAAAAAGCTAATTACCTCCCCTGCTGCATCTGCATTATCCAAAGCAAAACCCATGGCCTCTTTTATCTGACTCCTTTCCAAGGTTAATGCCCTCAACATATCCTCAAATTCATCTCGCTGTGGATCTGTCAAAGACCGTTCTACTTCCACACGCTAGATGGGCGCGGGATGTTTATCAGTATATTTCCCATTACAGAGTCACATTATATGAGAAACTACTTGCATCAATTCTTCCTATGCAGAAGTATGGTATATGCAGCCCATGGAATATGTTGAGAAGTTGAGATTGAGAAGACATCTTACCCTGCTTCTACCTGCAGCATATGTGGAAGAAGTTTCTTTCACATGCTCAGGGCTTTGTGCGGTTGGCAAGGGGGGAGGGACCCACCTGCATGACAATGAAAGGAATTATATTTATATATTTTTTATCATCAGCTAAACCATTTGTAGTAAATTAAGTTCGTGAAACCAAGGAAAGATCTGTATTATATGGTTTGAATGTTAAAGGGCAGCATCATCATAATCAACCGTAGGCATTTAGCCTTTCCGAAGTATTTGGGTTAGCTTTTTATGAACCCTCATTCTCCATTCATTGTATTTAAGTATTGCTTGAGATGTTATAGCTCTCCGTTTATTCTTGATTAAGGGGTTACATAAAAGTCTACATAAATGGGTGCCTCCTCGTGCAGATCGCTTATTTTAGGGAAAAAATTTATGTCAATGGTAAATCATTCTTCGGGTAACTTGTACCAGTGAATCACATATACTTCACCTGCCACTTCCAGTAATCATTATAAAAGGTTCTGTACGCCACCGCTGTAAGGTGTCACCCTGCATTCCACATAAGAAAAAAACAATAAGACCACCATAGAGACTGGAAAGTATACTTTTTTGGAAATGAAAGCTTGATACATAATGACAATTTCTATGCAGAGCAGTGAAGCACCGACACTACAATATAATGCAGTGTCCGACATACTTTTGACACATTAAACATGCCATCTACATGTCAAACTTAAAAAAAATGAAAATATATATATATATATATATATATATATCAATGTGCGTGCCCTAGAATGACTAAGTTCAAATACTTAAATCCCTAATGGTTCATGCCATCATGTCTTAAAACTCTCACAAGCAGATGCCATAGGCCTGTAACTCAGCTATCACCTCTTCTATTTTGTTGGGGAGCAAGTATATTTTTTCATTTAATTTTTATGCCACTTAATGCTCATGAAAGATAAAAAAATATATTTTATTTATTTTTTTCATCCTTAAATAATGTGGTTTTTTTACAATCCTATTATGTCAGAATGTATGACACATTTTATATTTTATTTAAATTGCATAATAATATACAAAAAAATTTCATTTCAAAATATATGAAGTATAACGTCATGTCAAAATCATATTAATATCACATATTTTCATAAATAGACGTATCATGTGTCTGTGTCATATCTTGTCCGTATCGGTGCATCATAAATGTAATACACATCATGAAATGGCTTTTGGAATATACACATGAAAGCTTACGAACTTAAAATCTGTAATTAACAAATCATCCTTTAGCACGACAACCATTTTAATGGTTTGCTCCATATGCTTGACTATATGCATCGTCTTTTTAGGAGTATTTTTCCTTGACATTTCATGTTTTAAAATTCCGCTTTAGCTAGATATTTATGCATTTATGATCCATAAAGATATTTGCAATGATTTAATGGGTTTTCCAAGAAAGCTTGCAATGGCATACAATATTGAGCATACAAAAATTGAATCTTCAATTAAAGCCTGAAGGTCCGGACTGAAAAATTGGAGCATGTAAATGTGCCAACCTTCACTGAAAACAAAATTTTGTTTAAAGTTTAAATGCCCTATGGCCAAAGTGAACAGCAAAGTGCTTTATTTTTCAAGAGCAACGAAACTGATTTAGTGAAACAACTTGATGGGTTACAGCACAGTTCAGCCAAGACGTGATGATTTGATGGGTTTCTGAAGAAAGCATGCAGATAATATTGAGCATTAGAGAAGCGGATCTTTTATCACAGCCTGAAAGTTTAGACCAAAAAATTGAACCATATAGATGTGCCAACAAAATGTAGCCTAAAGTTTATACGCCCTATGGATAAAATGAAGCGCAAAGAGCTTTATTTTAAGATCATTGAAGCTTCCATGTTTTTGTCCATCAAAGAGCAACCCTAATAGATGCATAGTACCTATTACAGACTGCTGACATAACAACAGCGAGACATTTCTATAGCATAGCAATTAAATAAATACAATCTAAAAAGATTTATAGCATATCACCAACCATAACCTACGCTAGAACAAATTAAGGGACTAAATACAAAATAAAAAAGGAAAACGTATTGTCAAGAAGCAACTTAAATATAAATGAGTGAATGAATAAAAGAAACATAGAACAACAGATATAAACTGGGTACCAAAAAAAACTACAAAATTAGGAGTAGCTCAGCACAATTGAGCTGTTTGTAAAAATATTGAAATAACATGATCAAGAATGTAAGGAAAAAATAAAACAGAGAAATGAACAAATCTTCAAAAAAAATTTGGGAAGGAATTTTAAGTTTTTCTTTATATGTGTATATTTATTAATGTGCTGATAGGAGACTAAGATCTGGATTCAACAAACAACACTGTCTTCACTAAACTAGGCCTGTCGCTCTCAAACTTTACCAAGTTCGGTGATCAGCAATGCTAAACAAAAGATTAGGTGTGGATAAATGTAAACATATGGTCTAAAAGCTATGAAAAAAAAGCCTAATTAAATACAATACAGTTATCATACCTGGGCAAAAGAGTAGAGTCTCCATACATAGTAACTGTGTTCTTTTGACCCAAGTTCAAATAAGAAGTTGAACAGCTTATTTCCACGACCCCTTTCCATTATTGCTTGTTCAAAAGCACATCCTCCATCAAGAACATGCAATGCCATTGTGTCAACCACATGACGCAGATGTTTATCTTCGGGAGGAACAACCAATATATCAGGAACATTTGGGGTGAGAACCTGCAGCAAAAATTCATCATCAACAAGCATATTTGTGTTTATTCCATGAAACCTTTTGGAATACTTTTTCAACGATCATTTCTATTTGGAGCTACATTTGATGTTATTTCTAGTTTATCAATTTTTTTTTAATAAATTCTCTTCAGGCTCATGTCAGCAAATTCTTTTACTAATAAAGTTCCCTCTTTAGCAACCGTTCTTTTCACAGTTCAAAAATCAACAACTACGCTCATCTGCTCTCAGGTGGTTGACAAATATTATATATATATATATATAAACCAAGTAGTAGTTGAATAATCAAAAAGAAAAATATTCAAGCAAAAAAAGGTTTACCCATACGTTCAAGTGGTGCCAGTTTAACAAATGGTAACTCTAATTCAAGGGAAGGGAGACATTTAAACCCCTCCGTAAAACCAATGCCAAGACCATCATTGGGGAAAGTGATGTGAAACTACGAGGAGTTACTTTGAAAATTAAAAGAACAATTGAATAAAATTTTGCTCACGACAAATTATTGCTTAAATTTAAAAGAGAGTAAGAATTTAAAGAAATCAACTTGCTTAGGCCAAAGAAGTGCTTTTGATGCAAACCGTACAATCCAATCAAAATTCTTAATAAATAGTAAATATTACATGTTCGTAACAAAATCCATCTTTTAACAAAGAGAGGTTCACCTTGAGTACCACCTCACTCATGCACTCCTTGGGTTTAGCGGCGGAAGGCGAGTCCAATGAAGAATGATAGTACCACTAGGAAGATGGCGCCGAAGATCTTTGTTGATGGAGAAGTAGCCTCGGACGAAGAAGGGGTGGATCTTCCAATGAGAAGCCAAGGCGTCTTGAGTTTTTGGAGATCGATCGTTTCCGCTAAGCATTAGAGGATGCGCTTGACGTATCTTCCAAAGTTTCGTCGTACTCCCAATCAGGATCATAGAAGGGGGGAGAGAAGGATGTCGATCTCCCCACAATCGTTGTAAGCAAAGCCGTGATCAACTTCGAGATCGGCCATGCATCATAAGCATGAGAAGGAGAGAACACAAGAAAGAAGAAGAACGAGAGAGACGGCGGTGGGGAGGGAGGCCGACGGCTTGAAGGGGTGGAAAGGGGCTAGGGTTTGAAAGAACTTAGGTTAAGTAAGGTGGAGGTGTTCTAATCTCCAAAATCTGAAAATAATTTCAGGTTTTGAGTAAAATTGGAGGGAATTAATTTGAAATTTGGATTTCAAATTAATTGCAATTAAGGGCCTTGAATGAGCATTAATTGGGGGGCGGGGGGCAAGCATGGGGTCGGCGGCATGGAGAGAGAGGGAGAGGGGTTTTATGCCAAACCTGAAATTAATTTCAGGATTTAAGTAGATTTGGAGGGAAATTAATTTGAAATTTGATTTCAAATTAATTATAACAATTGCATTAATTGGGGATTAATGGGAAAACCATACATGTGGCCAGCGGCATGTAGGTGGGAGAGGGAGAGAGGTGAAGATTTCAAAGCTTCTTTATTTAGCTTTCAAAAAAAAAAAAAGAAAAGGAAAATTAAATCTGATTCAATTTAAAATTAAATTGAATGAGATTTAAAACTTTCCAAATATGGCTTTGACAAATTAGAAAAGAATTTGAAATTTCAAATTTTGAATTGAGGAGTCCAATTCCTAAATCAAGGGAGATTATTTAGGTAGGTGATGATGATGACATTAACCATCATTAATGGTGGATGGCCACTAGGGCCGGCGACATGGTGGTGGGGTTTGGGAGAATTCGGTTGGGGAAGGATGAGGTGAAACCGGTGGTGGAGCTTGAGGAGGGATTGGATAGTGGAGGTTAAGCACTTGGTGGTGGAGGAGTAGGAAGGAATGACGGATGGAGTGGGGAAAGGAGATGAAGGAGAATACAAAGAAGATAAACGAGTCGTGGACTCTTCCAACGATTGGTGGGCCTTGCACTTGCTCCTCTTGAGCTCACTCTCCCTTCTCTCTAGCTCTCATGCAAGAAAAGAAGTAGAAGCAAATAAAATTTCATTGATCATTCATAAAAAAAAAAAATACAACATATGAGACCACTATATATAGGTCTCTACTCATGAAAAGAACAAGTACAAGATTGCTCTATGGGCTACAATAACAAAACAACTCCCCAAAGGGTAAAAACGGAAAACGACAAATAACTAAATAACATATCATGAAAACTGAATCAAAAGTAGAGGCGCTGAATCGTGGCCGTAGATCTGCAATTCCTTCGTCGATACACATGTCGATAGCGTTTGTCGATGTCCTCATCAGAAAAGAGGCATTTAAACCCCTCCATAAACCCAATACCAATACCATCATTGGCTAGTTCATTGCATATTTAGCGAGTTAGGTAGTTCTAAATTTAGTTAGCAGACTAACAGCACAAAGTTAAAATCAATACATGATTTTCAAATAATTGCAATGTTAAAATTATATTACTTTACTAAATCTCCCAAAACAACCAACAACAACAACATCAAGCCTTTGTCCCACTATGTGGGGTTGGCTACATGAATCCTTTTTCTCCATTGTGTCATATTAAAAGTCAAATTCTCATTTAAATCTAATAAAGAAATATCATGTCTAATATTTTCTAACCAAGTCTTTTTAGGTCTACCTCTACCTTTCTTAACATAAGTCAAATCTAATACCTCAACTTTCCTAACCGGGTCATCAAAAGGCCTCCATTTAATGTGGCCAAACCATCTAAGGAGACTCTCTCTAATCTTATCTTCCACTGGAATCTTATCTTCCACTGGAGCTACTCCAACCTTTTCACGTATATGCTCATTTCGTATCATATCTCTAAGGGTAAAGCCACTCATCCACCTAAGCATCCTCATCTCTGCAACACTTAACTTAGTATTATGCTTCTCTTTTAATGGCCAACATTCGACACCATAAAGCATTGCAGGTCTCACCACCATCTTATAGAATTTTCCCGTAAGTTTGAGGGCAAAACAACCAATGAATGTAAAATAGTATGCATAGCTTTTACAAATACATTTCAGAAAGCTAATCCTAACATCATCATCATTACTCTTATCCCAACTATTTTTAGTTAACCTTATGAACCCTCATTCTCTATAAGTCCCCGCTGAGGCATTGCATGATGTTTTAAAAAAATTTTGGGGCATTTTTTGCCGCAACTATGTTACCTTTGATTGACCATTTTTCCTTTTCTTTCAATATTTAAATTTATCTATCTTATTAGCGCATCCTCTAAACCTTTATTGCACATAGCCAAATCACTCTAGTCTATATTCTACTACCTTATCTTCAATAGATGTTACATTCAATGACCCAACAATATGATAATTTCTCAATCATTTTAATTTTACATATATCCATATTAACATTTTCATTTTTTCACACTCAAGTTAGTTATTAATGCCTTCTTTACAACCCAACACTCAAATCCATACAATATAATCCACCTAGTTGCAAATTATAAAATTTACCAAGTCTCAACATTCACTTATTGCTCCGCATATGAGACTAATCCAACTAAGCTCAAATTAAAAATATTATAATCCTCATTAACATGAATCCAACCTAAAAAGCAAAAGAATTTTGAATGAGTTTATGAATTAAGTAATCAAATTGCTTTAGGCTTTATTAAGTTAAAGCCAGCTAATGGTTTAAAGCAATAGAGCTCACATTCATATGGCATCATAGCAGGAAATCTATTTGTCCATAATTAATGCAGCATTCAATTTTCCGTTAGTAACAATAGATATGTAGGAATTACATGGCTTTCTTAGCAAAGTAAGCATTAGCATTCATCAAGATAGCATATAAATATAAGTTTGAGCCAACATTAACCCCATTGCATGGAAAATCATCTGCAAGCATTTGCAAAAGATACAAGCAACAAATATTGATGCATGCTTACACATGATAAGTTTAATGAAATTTGAAATAAAAAGCAGAACAAACTGAGAGTGAAAAAATTAGTCAAGTGTTAAAGGAACCATAAATGTCCCTAGGCTCATAATGAGCAGAGTTGTTATATAAAATAAGGTGATGAATGTTTCCAAAATTAGGTGCCAACTTTTCTTTTTCCAATTTTCATTGAATCTCTCAATTCTCCATATGTATTCATGCTTTCCTTGCCTAACACCAAGCTGATAAGCAATGCAAAAATGAGGAGAATTTAATGGACAGACAAAGAAAGAAAGCGAATGAAATGAACGTAAGAACTAGAGAATTTAAAAATGAACATGCAAAAAACATTGACATCAAAGTTCATAGATATGGGCTCATAAAGCAGGTACTATATTATGTGTTAAAAGTCATGGATATGTTTGAATGATCAAAGTTCTTCCAGAAGTTTTAAAATAAGAAGAAATAACAAGAAAGAGTTTCTCAGTAAAGTTATGTTGTTATGCCATAGTATCCCAATGTTTAGAAGATGTAGAAAGTGGTATGGCAGCACATAAGAAATATTCCTGCTGCATAATGCAAAAAGAACAAAAGCAGAATAGCATTAAAGATTATAACAAGATCCCAACTCCTAGAATATAATATGACATGCATCAATCAACATACCAGCTCAGAATTTTGGCCGGCGACAGAAGTAATTGGCAAACCATCAGGTCCAGACAAGACCACAGTACCGCCCTGTAAATTAACAGATTCCAATTAATTAGCAACAGAAAGTAGGACATGTAGAAAACTGGCTAGTTGTGCCCATAAATTAGTAAGGAAATATACTTTAATACAGGTCCCTCAATTTCTATTTTTCCGATGAAATTTTAAACCAAGAAAGCAACACAGAAACATTCTAAAGAAGTAAAACAAATAGAAGGATACAACTTCAGGTGGACCTTACATCTTTGTTACGGATAGCCATCTGTCCTGGTGGTGGAGCAGGGAGGGCCTGTGCCGGAAGTGCAACAGATTTTCCCCAGCCAATCTTAAGCTCATACTCATATATCACGACACCTGCAAATAAGAGTCATATAAACATCAACTAACTTTCACTAAGTAGAGTATTGAGAAGGAAGCCATTGGTTACGTAGCATTAACTAAATGAATTTACCAAGTTATTTATTCTTCTTGATAACTTTTGGCTTTAGATGAAAGTTTACAGAACAAAAAAATAAAGGGTTGTGTTGCTTTTCTCACAACAATGCAATTGCATTACTAGTAATAAAGATAAACAATGAATAACAAACCAACTTTATATTTTATAACGGAAATAATAAGTTCATGGTTCGTATTGAAAATTATCAACATCCATAATACAATAATCTAAATACAACTTAATTATCACTATGTTTGCAAAAAGAAAGCGAGGTTGATGTTTCTAACTATATGCATCACATTTGAAAGAAAAATTAAGATGGAAATTTAACATTCATGACTCCTCACTATTTTTTATTTTCTCTCTAGTGTTGGCTAGGAATTAAGGTTGATGATGATATTCACAAAATGAATTAACTCCCCCTCAAACAGACTTAGCCAGGTTAAAAAAAATACCAATTTATCTTCCTTTATACTTTAATGACTCATAGAAGATTACTTCTATGCTTCTATGTAGCACAACATAAAAAAGAAATCAAAAGAAAGAATAAAGGATGGTATCGAATATTTAAAATGCCTCCTGGGACCCTCAAGACTTTCACATAATTACCTCCTACTAAAACTAGAAAGAGGATTGGTATTTTGCACCTAACGCGTGTACTATGGTAGAACATCACCATAAGAAAAGATCTGCAAAATAACGACTTGGAAGTCTTCATATCAAGATTTATTTTTCTATTGGTTGGAATTAACTAACTTAATTTGCAAGCATCATCGTCTGCTTTATGTCTTGATGTGTACCGAGTGAATGTGTTCTTGAATGAAGCTTTGACATGCCTTCTCGGCTTGTATTTGCAAGTTTTAACTGAAATTTCTTGAAGTTTACAATGATTGTCGTCTATTATTTTGTCTCTATTTTGCACTTATAAATCCAAAGTAATTGAGATCAATAAATCTTCTTAAATTACTAATATTAAAGAGAAGAGGAAGTTAAAATATTTACCAATTCATCCAAATAAGAAAATTTGAGTTTATCTAACCTTGCATTTCATCTTTAGCAGCCTGTCCGTCAGCCCTGTTCATGAAAGCAACAAAACCACAATTTCTTTGCCGCCTCCGCTCCTCCTCTGTTCTGGGCCACATAATCTTCACACTTGCTATTGGCCCAAACCTACCAAATGTCCTCAGAAGAAAATTTTCATCAACCTGTCGTAGCCCCAATTGTAAGAGAATCATAGGATAACCATCTCATCAATCTTCAGCACAAGCGATCAACAATCTTAATAAGTATTAAAAACATTGTGTACCTGTGGTGAGAGGTTTCCAACATACAAATTTGTTGTTTGGGGATCACCATCGTCGAATGAACCAGGAAGCTTTCCATTAAAATCAAAATCATCTGGCAGTTCATCAAAACGGCTGGATGGCTGCACACAAGATTTTTCGATAAATTAAATAACTAGAAACTGGGTGAATAAAAACTTAATTTAATTGGACAAAATATCACCATGAGCCACTAAGAGAAAATTTCTTTTTGGGGCTCTTTATTCTGTTTATGATGTGGGTGATGAATGTGCAGAAAAAGCAGTGATTAAAATGGTTCCAAAATTCACTGGAGCCAACAATTAAAGTGCCACTTGCAACATTCCTTTAATAGTCAAAATATCAAATTTGAGTAGAAATATAAATGTGATGGCTAGGGGCATACAGGCATGCAAAACAATAAATTATAACTGACAACATATATCTTAGATTGATATTGTATTAATTTCTATGCTTCAAAATCTTTATTGTCATAAAATCACTACTTTTATTCCTTTAATAAAAAAACCATCCAATATCTTTCTAATAAAAATCATTAAATAGCCTAATGATCATATTCACAATAAATAATTAGAATTATTCTATGGGTGTGCATTATTGAGGTAAAAACAAGAAGCCCATATCCCACTACGTAGGTTCAACTACATGAATTATTTTTCTCCATAGTATCCTATTAAAAGTAAAATTCTCATTTAAATCTAATAAAATTATCATTTTTAAATAATTTCTAATAGTCATTTTATTTCTACCTCTACCTTTTTTAACATAGGCCAATCATTTTTTTAACATTGGACAGATGGATATATATGTCTGTGTGTGTGTTGTAATTCATGTATGTGGTTTGGCAGTTCAAGAGGCTGTAAAACTGATATATTCAAACAAACAAGCATGGCTTTAAATATTTGGATAGGTTTCAAGTTTGTATCGTTATTCATAGTTCGGCTTTGGACATCTAGATGCTAGAAATTATTACTTGGTAGCTTCATTAAAGGTCATAGCGGCTTATGTTCGCACATAGTTAGAATCTGACAATGATACATAATACTTAGATATTCCATAAATAGAATGATTATCTAAAGCTCCCATGAAAATGAACATCAAGTGATGTCTTTGTTAGCATTCGGAAAAGAAAGCAAATAAGCATGGAAGTACCCCTTAATTGATCACAAGTATTATACTAAGAGTAACCATATCTTGAGAGAATGGAAGCTCTAAAAAACGATAGATTAACCCACTTCATCTATAAGATAGGTTGTAACTCATCACTGAGCTTTCCATTTTTAGAAGTTACATTTACAGGCCTTCCAATGGATGTAAGCCCTATCAAAATTAACTTGGGTTGACACAATGGTATCAAACCCACTAAATCAAAAATCAAGCCTTCCAATAGATGTAAGCCTCATCCCAATTAATTTGAGCATTCTAATTGATGTTAGCCTTAATCCAACCTAAACTCGCATCAACTCCCATGCCCATCAATGAAATCCATAGGTTTCTTACAACTTTGAGTCAAAATAAAACTCACGAATAACTAACAAATTGTCACATTGTGCCTCTAAGCTTTTATTGGTCATGCCTAATACCCTATACTGCAATTGATATTGTTTTGAGCCTATGAACTTTTCAAAAAAAAAACTAATATGACCAATGTTTAAAATTGAGTATTCGGGTATTGAGACGTTTTTCATTCGTGAGGCGAGGCGTAAGCCTCAAGGCCTTTTGAGGCGTAAGCCTCAAAATCAAAAGATTGCGTAAACATAAAATGATAAATTTGTTATATACTAATGAGTGAATAATATAAAATATAAAAAAGCATAAGATATGAAGTGAAATCAAAATATCTCAATAATAAGACAACATGAAATATAGTTCAACTCAAAATTCTATCTTTCGGAAATCCCAGTATTCTTTTCATTAACATATAATTCCAATTTCCAAAAATAAATAGCAATGACATATCACATAAGAACTCATAAGTCATCAGCACTGCCATCACTAAGGGGTTCTTCATTTGAATCATCATCATGGTGAATTGCTCTCCCCTTCCTCCTTTCCTATAGAGTCCAATGTCGGGCATTTACTTCAAGATTTATGTAAGTTTTAATATATATAGCGTGAGGCGTAAGCCTCATGCTAGTGAGGCGAGGCGGGCCTCAAGGCGGACCTCAACCAAGTTGAGGCGCAAGCCTCATAAAAAAACTCGAGGCGTAAGCATCGAGGCGTTTTTTACTGGAATTACGCAAAGGCGAGCCTCATATTGCGCAATTTTAAACCATGAATATGACTACCTCTATGCTAGTAAACTAAAAGATTATTGTCTTGAAAGCAAGTCTTCAACATACACCATATATTTCCACAAGCTCTCTAAATATTGCGGGTTTCACCCTTTAACATTGCAAAATGGGGGTCCACTGCCATACCCTGATGAACAAACAACTCTTTAATTGAGTAAGCTCTTGTGATCATAAACGGAAATTGACAATAAGGACATATGCCCATAGGAAATCTCAGTGCCATATTTAAATAAACTCTGGTATTCACATCAAGAAAAATCTAATTAAAACAAACACAATCTACCTAAAAAAAATTACCTCTTAGTCTTCTCATCTACACATTGAGGCTCAAAGCAAATGAGTTGGTTGTTCCTAAATGATCAACAACTAAACAGAAATCGAAAGGTTATGTAGAAGGCCAACATGCAAAGGGTGATCCCCTAGACAACTTATTTCAGCAACATTGCATGAATCAAGCGCTACTTCATTATCCCCTATTAAACCAAGGTCCTTCCCTGATATAGTGGTTCTTTTATATGGAGTATGTCTACCATGTTACTTTTTCATGAATATCATGTTGTCTCTCTATTATGATTTAGTCATCTTATTGGCTTAGTATGCTCACTTTGATCCCATATAATGAATTTGTCTTCATTAATCGTCGAAACTCTATTCCTAACACTTTATGCACTTTATTATGCTTCTACTTCTTTCCCACAATGTTAATTTTCATCCTTTTGTTTCCTACTTTTCATCACCTACTCCAAGGTTCAACTCTTTTCTCATGTACTGTTCCTTCTATTTATTATTCCCCCACCTCCAACTCTTCCATCAACTTCTTTAATTGCTATATTTATTTTCATCTTCTTCACATCCTCCCCAACATTTTGTACTTTGGTGTCATTAGCCCCTTAAGGCTAATTTTATGAATCCAACTTTTCCATTCATGCTTTTTAAGTGGCTATATGAAGTGATAACTCTACTTTATACAATTTTTTTTCTTCACTACTTCTAGCCATGCACCTTTGGTCCATTTTTCTCCTAATTAGTGAATTTTCTACCCCCCATAGTACATGACTAAATCATATCTTATTTCTGCTACATTATCTTCCATATGCCTTAATCCTAACAAAATCACTACCAAATTTATCGTTACTAGCTTTAATATATGTCCAACATTTCCACTTCTTTCACAAAAGTTATATGGAATTTCTAGGAGATTGTACCAATATAAGAAAAATTGAGTGTGGATATTTTGTTGGTTCAGTGCTTTATTTTTGCATAAACTTCATCACCGTTACCTAATTATTTAGAATCGCCTAGGGCGTTATTTGGTCACAAGTACTTAGAATTTAGATGTATTTTAAAATAATGTAAAATGAACTCAATGTATTTGAAATTTTTAAGATTGTTTGGTTGGTTGTAAACTAAATTCTGGATATTATTTTTTTTAGTTTGGTTAGCAAAAAATGAAATGCATTACTTAATGTTAAGGATGATGGCCTGATGTTGAGTGAATGACAAAAACAATGGCAAGATATGGGGTACATGAGATCGAGGCTAGGGTCTCAGATCGTGCAGCAAGACAACTACAAATCACAGGATAGTGTCGTGGGAGAAGATGGAATCTCATGCAATGAAAATGCAACATGTGCGGAAATGGACGAGAAGTGGATCATGGGATGGCTTCAAGCATATATGTCAATGGCGCAAAATAGCGTGCGCTATGGTGCACGGTGCGATGCGACACACATAAAACATTATTTTCTTGGTGCGGCAAAGATTTTCAAAATAACACGCACTATTTACGCTATGTACGAGCAATGGCTCATGGCGCAAGGTAAAAATAGCAAGGGCAATTTTGTTGACATCTTAAAAATTCTAGATTATTTAGCATTGTCAATTTTTTTAGGATTTATATATGAATATCATAATTAATCATTAACTATTTAAATATCAATTTGATAAAATATTTAAAATATTTTATTTTATCTCTAATCTCTAAATAAAAACCTAACTTAATATATTTAATTTAATATTTTAAAGACTTAGGACTGTCTAGGGTTTGCTTTTCTCATTGTCCTTTTTCATTGATGCTTCGGTTTCACATACTTCGTGTGAACTAGAGTTTTGAAAAAGTCGCACAAGTAACCTTCTTCGCCACCTTCAACAACAACATTCCAGTCAGATCGAAAGTCATGAAAGAAGCTTGCAGCAAAGATAACAACTTTCTTCCTTTTCGCACACTTCTTTGGCTAAATTTAGTTAAAGTAAAATGGACAAGGAACGTGATTTAGGTTTCTGTAAGATTTAAAGTTGTTATTTTTGTTGTTTGACAAGATTTAGGCTAAAACGCGCTTAAATCCTACTCAAATCCACCGAAGAAGGAACATGATTTAAATTTCTATGAGATTTAGTTGTCATTTTGTCATTTGGAGGGATTTAGGCTAAATCATGCTTAAATCTTACTCAAATCAACCAAAGAAGGAACATGATTTAAGTTTATGTAGGATTTAAAGTTATCATTTTTGTTGGTTAATAGGCTTCAGCCTAAATCATAAATGAGCCTTTTTATCTTTGCAGCACAAGCTTAAAACACAATCTATTAATTCATGAACTAACCTTCCATAGGTGTTACTCACATCATCATAATCATTAGCCTTATCTCTATTATTTAGGGTGAAATTTATAAATCATAGTGCTCCACAAAATAAACCTCAAATAGTTGAGATAAAGATGATGATGATCATAATGTGAGGAACAACAAAAAAAAAGTCTTAGTCATAAATCAATTTGTGTATCATAAGCATGTACATCAAAGAGCAAAATAAGCATCAAGTAGAGTTGATGTGTAAAGAATAAGAAGGCTAACAGTTATAACAAAAAAAAAGTTACCAATAGATTTAAATCGTAATAGTGGTCGTAAAAAAGTAATTCTTATAAGTGATCCAAAATAGTTAAGGTAAGATTAAGACATCCAATAAAGGTGGGTTAAATGCTCTCCTAGGCACCCATTTTAGGCAAGGCAAGTCGATAACATCTTGCATGCCTCCCAAGTGGGATTCATTATTAAGGTGGAGCATATTTAAGTTCCTTGCCAAGAAGTGAGGTGAGCATATTATCTTACATGAAGCAACGAGTGTTAATACTTTAAAGATGAAAGATAGGATTTTTTAAAAAGTTGGCATGAGATGATGAGGAAATGATAAAGAAACTTCAAAAAAAAGAAAAAAAAGACACCAAGAAATAAATCTAAATAAATATTGATATAAGAGCTTCAAACTTTAGAGAATTGGAGAATGAAGAAGAGGATGTGTGCAAGTAGACAAGGAAACAGATGTAACACAAAAAATCCAATATTTAAAAGATAACATAAATAAGGAAGAATATGGAATAAACATGCTATAGAATTGAAAATTTTAATAATTTTGAGATACTTAATTTCACTAATCTTTCTAATTAGATTTAAGAACTTGGAATGCAATGAAGATTTAAATTTAATTATTTTTCAAATTGATTTATTAACTGAAGCAGCAATGTTTTTTCCATTATGTCATTTGAACAAGCCTCTATGGCGATGTCTAGGACCTCAATGTTAGGCAGCTATATTACCTTGAGGACCCTTAGCACTTTCAACAACACTAGTATCCGATGTGGTATCAATGTGCATCAAAACATGATTGGAGAAATATGAATGTTAGGCAGCTATATTACCTTGAGGACCCTTAGCACTTTCAACAACACTAGTATCCAATGTGGTATCAATGTGCATCAAAACATGATTGGAGAAATAAGTGTTGTTTACACCGTTGAATAATAAATGAAAGTACCATGCTCCATAGAATAAAGTTAGACAAACCACAACTTAGGCTTACATATAATGATTAATAGCTTTTTTTTCTCATTTGAATTCCTTCCTTTTAATTATTTCATGCAGAGATATTTCCAATCATATAATAGAGAAACTTACAGCTGAACTCTCACTATGACGCCCTTCACGCCATTGTTCACGTTCTTGATTCCGCTTTTCTCTCAACTCTTGCTCAGCCTTGAGCTCCTCAAGAAAATTGTCAATAACCCGTGGTTTTCCTTTCTCCTTTTCCTTTGGTTTCTCTTCTTCTTTCTGCAGGTCATCAAAAGGATTTAATAGGATCGCTGTCGTTTAGTAAATTTGCTAGTAATTGTTAGTGAGACAATAAATGTGAAAAAAATAAATTGAAAAAAAATTCATTAAAAAAAAAAATAGCTTGAAGGACAAACAGGCCAAACATGACAAAACAGCGCATTGATTATCAGCTGATAGTAAACAGATTATATCAAAGTACTTCAACATGCACACAAACAGAGTTGAGCATAGATAATGCTTATGATGCATTACAAAGGTAAAATCATGTTATGCAATTTGATGAGCCACTCGTTGGTGGGGGCAAGAAATATAGGGAGCCTATACCCCTCGCCCGCACGAATGAGAAAACCGAAACGACCCACTAAATCACGAAATGACGAAGAAGAAGAGGAAGAACAAAAGGAAGAACAAACTCTTACAATAAAACTAAAAAGAAGAAATTACAAAACACACAAAATTACGACGACTTACAAACTTTGACTCATAAACCAAAGACACCCTAAAGTTGCTGCACTTGGAAGAAAGATACAGGTGGAGTGGCACTTGCGGAGAGACGAAGAGAATAGAAGCCAAGACGAAAGGTTGGAAAAAGCTCGCAAGATTTCCGGAGGGGATGACAAAGAAGACGGACAAAGCTCGCAAGATTATCCAAGCAAACCCGCAAGTTATAGCTTTTCCAAAAATAACATTTCATTCAACTATTTCAAACAATACATAACCCCTCATATTTATAGGTATGAAAGGGGAATACCAAAGGACACAAACAATGAATTCACATAGGAATTCCAAACATCACAAACATTAAAAACCTAATTGCTTTTCACGGAAAAACAGCTCAGCCAAGGAACCGAAGGAGAAGCCGCGGTAGACAAGGAGGCCGCACGGAACCAAGGCGCCACAGCCACGGGAAACCACCGGGCTTGGAAAAGCAGCAGCCGGCCGGAAATCCAAGAGGCAAAGGCACGGAAAACAGCAGCCCATGGAAGCCAAGGAGCCATGGCATGGGAAAACAAAACAAATCTTGGGATTCCAAAAGCCATTTTTGGAATCCCAAGAGACAACTTTAATTTAAGATAAAATAATAAATAAAAGGCTACATAAATGCGATAATAAATGAACTAAAACCTAGCTAATAATGAGCTAACTCTTAGTTCAATAAATGAACTAAAAATCAGCTCATAAATGAGCTAAATTCCAGCTCAAATTTTATTGAGCTTGTAAACTCAAGGGAGGCCAAAATTGATTTATTTTGGACATGAGTTGACCCCCCCTTTGTCTACATCACTCGTACAGGACAAAAAGAAACTTCAGTTTTCACAGATAATAAGATGAAGCTTGGACCTCAGAGTTCATAAAAATAATGTATAGCAGAAAGCAACATAAATAGGGATCATTCAACTGGGTCTTATTTGTCACCCTGCACCAAGAGACCTTTGATCATACTGCTGCAGAGCCTACTCAAGGCAAATCAAAGCCATAAAGCATGTCTAAGAACTCACACTAGAAAAATAAATAAATGAAAACCAAGCCCAAAAGTTTTCTCATGCAATCTCAGCCAAGGACAAAAGGTAACCTGTTACACTATTGAGCTAGGCAGTTATAACTCTGCCATGTAGTCCATGAAAAAACAGAGAAAATGTGCACAAGCATGCAGAGAAGCCATCTCAACCACAATTAAAAAAATCACTCAATATTTTAATATACTGTTTTGCAAACTTGACTAATCTTAAGACTATTACAACAAAAAATACAGAAGTTCTTGAACATGCATTTCAAACCATCAGTCACCAAAAATCTGTCAACTAAAATAGGAAAGATTCTCCAGGGGATGATTTGGTTACAGATTCAGCACGCTTTTCTTAAACATATCCCAGGTTGCTTGACTAGGACATCACTTCGTACATGTACAAAACAGAGCTACTAGCAAGATATTAATGACCAACATCACAAGTGCAATGCTAACCTTTTTCTCAGATTCTTTTCCTTTGGAAGCTGGAGGTAAGAAGGATGGCACATACCTGAAAAACAAAATTTTGTAGTAAGAAAACCTATCACAGTACCAAATAGGGAATTTATTATGTGCATATTCCATACAACAATCAAGCATTTAACAGCAAACAGGTCCAATAAACAAAGCATATGATCTCTGTAGAATTGATGTAGAACTAAATGCAGGAGAAATTATGCAATATTAAAATAACACGCATTTGAATTAGAGCAATAATTATTATGTTAGCTTCCAACGATGTAAACAAGTATTAACATGTCAGCGTTAGAATCATGAATCATCAATCATAATCAAGATTAGCATAGCGTGAGGGATTTTCAAAGGAAATCCCTGAATTAACAATAAGATTGAGCACTACTTGGATCCTACTCACTTGCACTCTTGATATGGGTTAGACGGAGATATGTTGCACAACCCCTTATAAAGCCACAAATTAACGGGAAGATTTAGAAAAGCAAGAGATTTGTACGAGAAATTCACCTTGATCAAGATTTAGAAACGATCCGCCACTTGACGGAAGAGAGTTGTTCGTCGATAGCGGCGGCGAGGGTGAAGACAATCCTTTCAACGTATTCTTCAATGGTTTGATCAATCTCCAAGTTGAGGTTAAAGAACGATGACTTGAGGATATCAACTTGACCTTGATCGTTGTAAACAAGCCCGTGGTCATGTTCTGGATCCGCCATACAAGAGTGAACAGCTACTATGAGAGATCGGAAACTCTCGGCAGCAAAGAGTGGATTTCTGGAGGGCAGGACAGCAGTTTCGCTTGCTGAAATTCTCTGGACAGCAGCCTGGCGATGCACAGAAAACTTGGAAAGCAACTGTGGGATGCCGGAAGCTCTTGGACAGCAAGGTGTGGTCTTCAGGAGGGTTGGACAGAAGATCAGCAAAGTTACACCTGCTGGAAATTCAGGACAGCGGTCTTAAAGAGGTCCAGGAATTCGGGACAGCGACCTAGGAGGATCAAAATCTTGAGGTGGAAGTTATGCGGGGGAGAGAGCCCTAGGGAATTAGCTTTGGAGTCATAGAACAGCAAGTAGGAACATTGAGAGAGAGAGAGGAGGGGCAGGCGGCTTGCTTGGGAATGGGGCTTGATTTGGGGTGTTAATGAGAAAGGAGAGAGAAGGACAGGCGACAATCTTTGATGAGCTTGATTGGGGGATTTAATTGAAGTAATAGTCAGTTTTTAAGTTTGGAATATTAAATTAGGAAAGGGATTTAATTCCAATCCTGATTTAATATTCAATTGGCATGATTTGAGGGACCTTCCAAAAATAACTTCTCTTATTTTAGAAAAGAATTTAAATTCAAATATGTTGGAATTTGAATTCAATAAAGTTTCCAAATTTAGGGGAACTAATTTAGGGAAGTAATTGAATGCAAAGCTTGGCAAGTTTGGGAATCCCAATGAGGGAGGGGGTGGCCAACAGCTAAGAGGAGGGAAGGGCTTAGGGTTTGGGTGGCGGCTAAGTGGAGGGGAGGAACCTTGGGGCCGGTGGCTTGGAGGGGAGGGGACAGGCCTTATGGCCGGCAACTTGAAGGTGGAGAGTGGGTTGGCCAACGATTGGAGGGGAAGATGGGTGCTTGGCCGGCGGCTATGGAGGAAGTTTGGTCGACGGTCAATGGAGGAGGGGAGTTTAGAGAAAAGAAAATGAACCACGAGCCCGGACGCTTCCTGTGGCTAGTGGGTGATCCGTCGCCCTCACCTAGGGTTCTCACCAAAGCTCTCTCTCAAACACCCAAGAGACAATTGCTGAAATTTTCATTATAATCTTCATTAGGCATCATAAGCATAGGAGACTATAAATAGTCCCCTAATATAATAACAAAACAAAAGACAATAATGCCCCCTGGGGTCACAAACACTTATTCCCTCAAGTGAGGGTAAAATCGGAAAATAAACAGCAATAAATCAAATACAATAAATAACTCAAAAATAAAGCGGTGTAATCGTGGTCGTTGATCGTCAACCCCGTCTCCACGGTCAGATGTCCTCATCAAGAACTTATTAATAAGAAAAATAATCTCAAGCATGCCATATTCCAAAGATTCCAAGGACTAATGATCTAAAACTAGCATACTGTAAGGTTTCTAAAACTATTTCACCTTGAACTAAATGTACGAAACCATCTAGCATTACTCCGTGACTTTTTCTAAAATTATATTCATCTTAAACTAAGTGTGTCGGGCCATTTGGCATTACATGTAAACAAATAAGAAACAAACCACCTCCTTCAATGCCATAGTCGCCATCATCATAACAATGTTATATGCTTCTTGGAGGCCAAGAAGTGGGGCACCTTTAGAATAGGTGTAGACTCCCAAGACGAAATAGAAGAAAAGGAAAGAAAGAGAGGATATCAAAAATTTTTCATTCATGCTATTTGATTACAATAAGGGATATTTATACTACTTGGGTAGACCAAGTTTACAAGATAGACATGATATACTTAATACATGTCTTAAAATAAAATAAATACACTCAATCTACATCACTAAAAGAAAAAAATAAAGTAAAGATCATTACATATTTGTAGACCACTACTTTATGTTACAAATCTTAACTATTTTGGAGTTCTTCTTCTTTGGTAAACTCGAATTATTGTTGGTAGCTCATTCTTCACAATTTGATTATACCATTTTAGGATCTAATAAAATATATTGATATTTAACAATCCCGTATCCATGAAAAACAGCCTTGCCCTTAAGGTTGAGAGAAGCAAAAGATATAGAGTGTTGCAAAATTTTTCCATGTGGCATCCTCTGATGTATTTAATTTATGTTGCAACAAGACTTGACGGTGAGGTTGGTCACGAAGCTTTATAATGTGGAATGCTAAAATGGCATAAGGAATAAGGAGTGGTTGATCATTATAAGGTTCAGCAATGTGGATGGAGTCAAGGGAGGGGTTCCTTTAAATGGATTGAGAAGAGAAATGTGAAAAACAAGATGAACTTTGCTATTAGAAGGGTTAGGCGGTAAGCCACTGGGCTAATGACCTATTGAATTGGAAAAAATCCAAAATATCATTTATCTAATTTGGAATGTTTTCTACATACAACGAAATTTTGCCTAAAGGGTTGTAGTTTAACTATTACTAGATCTGCTATTGAGAATTGTGAATCCCTTCTATAGCAATATGCCATTAATTTCATGTGATTTTGAGCTTGAAACATTCTTACGAAAGTTTTGTAAAAGGGTATCACAGTTTGTTAATAAGGTGTCTATAACGTAGATGTCAGAAGTATCACGAAGATATGCAGGAATTTATGGAGGTAATTGACAATATAGAGCTCGAAAAGGGGTCATTTTAATAGTCGTATGAAATGAAGTATTATAACAAAGTTCATCCCTTATTATTTTGTGAGTGATATGCAGTGTTAAAGTGAAGAGTGATGCCACTCAAGGCAAATAGACGACACCAAAACTGACTTAAAATGTTGTCACGGTCAGAGACAATTATTTTAGGGAAGCCATGCAATTTAACTAAGATATAGGTGAAATGTTCAGCTACATGTAAGGCAGAATAATTAAGAGGTAATGAGCCAAAATGAATATATTTGGACAAAGTATCAATTTCTACTATATGATGGTGTACTCTTTTGAGTTTGGTAAGCCATTAATGAAATTCATAAATAAATCTTCCCAATTTTGTAACGGAATGGGTAAAGGAGTTAATAGACTTATAGACCGATAAGAGGCAAGGTAGAGGTTTTTATTTCTTGGCATGTACAGTAATTATTAACAAAATTAGCAACATCTTTATGGAGTCCAGGTCAATAAAAATTTTTAGAGATTTGTTTAATGTTTTTGATAATATCCTCATGGCAGACACTAAGGTGTGGAATGAAATTCAATGAGAATTTAATTTTTTAGAAAAGAAGACTTACTGATATAGATTCGACCTTTAAAACATAGAATATTGTCTCAAATTTGGTATTCTGAAGGAGAGAGTTCACCTTTTGATAGTTGGGAGTTGAAGGATATCGGGAGATGTAAGGGCTTCCTTATTAATGAAAAAGAGAGATTAACGAGTGTGGAGAGTGAAAATAAGGGAGATGGAAAAGAAACCCTATATTCAAGTAATCAAGATAATGAATCAACAATTGTATTTAATTTACCTGGATTATACTCAATGGAGAAATTAAAACCTAAGAATTTACAAAGATAATATTGTTAGTATGGTATTTGAAGGATTTGTGTTTTAAGATCATGGAGGCTTTTATTATGTGTGAATAAGGAACTTAGTGCCTAATAGATATTGACACCATTTGCAAACAGCCTCAGTGATGGAAAATAATTATTTGATGATTCAAAACAAAAGTTTGCTATGTTAAATTTTGAAAGATTCCCATGCAAATCTTCATGAGAAAAAAGGCCAAATCGTTGTTGTAAAGATAACATAAAATCAAACTGAGAAAAAACTGACCTTTCATCCTACGTCATCGATACCAATTAGCAGCAAAACCTTCCAAATGAAAAGAAGAGATTCTAATGCGATGACAATCAGGAGTATTATGAAAATCAAAGTATTCTTGTGCTTTAAAGATCCATGTTTTGCCATCAGATCCATTAAAGTGAGGAAGTTCGATTTTCATAGTTTTAAGCTAAGGAGAACCAAGAGAAATGAGGGATCCACTGTGAAGTAGGAAAGGGCCGATAGATCCATGAATACCGGCAGAGGAAGCGTTATCTTGATTGCAAAAGGAACATGGTCGGTCAGTGCATAAGCTGTCAAGATGCTTATCAATGGAATCCATGAAGGTTTGAAATTGTTGGATGGAATGGAAACAAATTAAACGTAGGCTTATTGGAGAGATTTTTGGATTTTGGCAAATTGCAAGTAGTGATTACTTTGCATTGAGCGTAAAGCTTTGACCAAATCAGCATTCTTCATGTTGGATATGGATGATGAATTTTGGAAAGATTAAATTCTTTAAAATAAGCATTGGTGTACATGTACCAAAATAAAAAGGAGAAAAAATAAGTAGATTGTGTAGAATAAAA